ATTGAAAAAAAAATAAATAAAAATTTAAAAAAAGTGTGAAGACAAAAACACAAAAATAAATCGACAATATAGATGGCAAATAGTTCTTCATAACATGTTAAAGTAGTAGTTTTTATTTTGGATAAAAAATTTCTCTATATAGTACGTAAACAATGTTACTTCTTCTTGGTTAAAACAACGTCGTCAATTTCCTTGATACACATTCACTTTTGCGCAGTGAATTATAAGATGCCATAAGGATAAGATGACTGTCATTTATTTTCAAGAGCTCCAATCAATTAAATTAGGACCATTCTTCATACGACCGCCAACATGACTACGCATATCTCTTATTCCTGACAGTGAATTACGCTATCATTCAAATATTTATCGAAAATATTACCAAGAGAGTATATATACTCGTATATCTGTAAATTTATGATCAAGGAAATCCTATGTGGCTAAATAGAAAATAGTAAATACTACCTCAGAGGCATATAAAAATTTGTATCTTATACTATTATTCTTAAAAAAAAATCTTGGTAAGGCTAAACACAGTGATTTTTAACCAAGGGGGCGTTCATTAATCACGTGAGCGAATTTTTGAGGATTTGTGGACACACTCTCCCCCTTGTTGATACATGGTGATATTCAAAATTTACCCCCCCCCCATGCCAAACATCACGTGTATTTTTTAGTTTCGTGAAAAAACTGTAACTTTTGAAAAAAAAAATCAATTAAAAAATAAATACACGTGATATCTTACTATACCCTTCCTTCCCCCACGTGATTTTTTGCGATTTTTTGTCTAACCCCCCCTCCCCCTAAAAACCTCACGTGATTAATGTACGCCCCCCAAGTATGAAATTATGCTAGATGTATAATTTTTTTTGTAAATATCTCTCTTATTTAGAAACTTCAATAAAATATTTATTATATAAAATACGATCTTCAATATACAAAAAATTATTTCCAGAAACCAAAGACATTATTAAAGATCAGCAACAGCTATCATAGAAATGATATCTTTTATAACACCATTTGTGTCCATGTTTAACTAAATAAACGCGTGTAAAAATTGCTTTAATGATTTCATTTCCTCGATGCACATAGTATTTTCCATAATGATAACAAAATGAACCTAATAAATGCCTTGAACACGATATTGCGCAATTTCATGTTGAATATTAGACATTTTACAAGATGAGCATATAGTCAATACAAACTCTAGATGGGATCGTGAAACTAAGTTGTGTCTAGTAATTCTGCACTAGTACTTTGTATTTTAATTAAATCTCAATACCAAATGGTATTGAATTAGAAGTTTGTTACTAGGATTATATAACTTTGTATTTAATGTACAAATCCACTAGTACTGAATTTTATTTATCTAAATTGTACTATTATCAAAAATTAATTATTAGAATACTATTAGCTTTTAGTTATTAAAAGAGGGGATCACCTATCATAAAAATAGCTTATGATAAATAAGCATTTTTCTATTACCTAAATAATATAATATATATTAATTTATTAAATAATATTTAGCGAGATATTCGCTAAAAACCATTTGCTTGAATATTAAATTTGAATAATAAATAATAAATCAATAGGCCTTTAACCCGGTGTTGAAAATTTTAGAGTTAGTATTATAAATATAATAGTGTAAATTTGCCTTAATGATTTAAAGATTATAAACATTTTATCTAACAAGGGAAACCTCAGGTTTACTCTTCTGGGATTTTGATGAAATTTTGCATGTTGATAGTCAAACCAAACACTTTAAAATATTATAGGCATATGAAAAGAAGTTTAATTATAAAAAGTGTGAAGTAATAATAGCGCAGCCAAAAAAATCCTAAGTGGATGTTTAAATTTTGAACTCTGAAATGAGAAGTATATTTGTTATTGGCATAATACTTATTTTCATAAATTGTATATGTAACTTATCCGTCATGAAATAGTACAGATGTGAAATATGTCAAACGCATAAAAATTCTTTTATATCTCGTTATTTTATGTCAACCTTTTCAAATGCACGCACTAAATTGTGCATATAGAACGCTTGGATAATTAATTCTCTACTGCGGCTTCAATATCCATTGTAAATAATTATAAAACAGTGAACCAATAAATAATGGAGAAATATATTTGTTTTTCTATCAAACTCATTTATTAAATTCCTGTATCGTTTTGAAATACGCAAACAATTAAATGAGCGACATATATCACCGACGCGGAAGTTGAATGAGAGCTATTCTTTTAATTAGAGAAAAATATGTTCAGCTATTCTTTTGAATTGACTAATACTTGACTTAATATGTTTTCATATGTATGTTTAGCATTTTTATACAATCATATAATGAAAAAGCAATCTTACTATATAGCAGTAAGCATTATTTTGTGTCGTTTTAACCTAGAAAGTCCTAAAATTGTCTGTGAGATGAGAAAGCGACCGTTTCTTCCGAAGCAAAATTGCATCAGTAAAAAATCTTAAGCATATGTACCTGTTTAGGAAAGTCGGATATGACCAAATCTCCGATACAACTCCGCTTGGATTCACTCCGAGGGAAGATTTGTATCTTCGGAGTTACATAACTCTAATAGCTACATAATTAGAGATGGGTAACGCACTCCGGAGTTGTCACTCCGATACAACTCCTCCCTCGGAGTGAATCCGAGTGGAGTTGTCTCACCGGATTTGTCATATCCTACTTTCCTAAACTGGTACTAAATCTGTTACTGCGTTTTTGCTTTGCGAAGGAAGCTGTTGCTTTCTCGTCTCACAGGCAGTTTTATGACCTTTTGCGTATACGTTTTTTCCAGAAAATACAAAAATATTACTTCAAAGATACAGAACAATAAAATTGTGATCAAGTGTGGATAGCTCCAATGTATAATTTATTGAATAGTAAGGGTCATATTTCTAAATACGACAATCTTTGGTCGTGAATGACGGCAATCAGGAATATACATGCCGAAAAATACACGAAACAAAATACATTTAATCTGGTTTTTCCATAGCCTGAAATAACAATACTTTAGAGTTTTGATTCTCAAGTTTTGCGTTTTTACTTTGGTCAACACTGTTAAAATTACGAGTCATTGAGTCGATCACGTGGTCGACCGAATAATTTTACAACTCGTCATTTATTTGTGATTTTTTTAGAAAAATTATTTATTGATATTTTTTTAATTTTATTTTATTATAAATTTTCATTTCAAAAAATTAAATGGAATTTGACAAATCCTTAGATGCATACACAATGCACTATAGAACACATTTGTGTCGAGTATTTCGGTTTCAAAGTTGTCGGAGTCGTGGAGTTGTTAACCGGATATAACTCCTCCCTGAAGCGCATCTCTAGTACATATAAAATATATATTTACAAGATAGCGATCATAACGGTTCGTGTGCTTAAACCAAGTATCTAGTGTTTCCACCATCTCGAGTTGAGTTTTTGTCCCGTCCCAGTTAAGTTGATAGATTCGTCTCTAATCTGGTACTTTGTAGCGAGAGCACCTTCACCTTCAGCCGTGTTTCTTAACGCACACTACACGCGTAACCTAACTCCACAATATCGTGGTATTAATCGCATTTCTCATTCTCTTCGTCATTCATTTACGCGGGATTTGGCACGTGATATATCTCACGGATCATACCTCATACCTCACTTCCTCATACCTCACTTCCTCATATCAGAATCTATGTAACTTCGGACGGGAACAACTCATCTAGAGCTACCAGTAACTATATGGTAGCAGATAGTTGTTCCGGTTGTGTAAACTAGAGGAACATGATACAAACATTATATGTAAAGGCTTATATTTGCTCTCAAAGCATAATTATTGGTTTTAGCAATTCCATTGTTACTTTGGTCTTTTTTATTAACTTCCCGTAGGGTAAGTTATTGTAATGGACCGAAAATCGAAATTGAAATTTTTTACATTTCTTGACGTTTTGAAGGTTTCTGAACATTTTGGCATACCTCAGAAAAAATGGATGTGTGTGTGTGATAATGTATGTATGGATACAAATTTCCAGTCACGATTTCGGGCGCAAGGATCAAACGATTTGAATGGTTTAAAAAACATTCGATTCCTATTGATAGGGAGATGAGTTGATTAGTTTTTGGCAAAGGCAGGTCTAGCCGTTACGGAGATAAAGAGCAAAGTGTGCAAAAAATAAAAATCGAGATTTTGAGAGAACGGAACATCCGATTTGAATGATCTAAAAAACATTCAATTTATAATAATTGGGAGAAGTGTTTGTTAGTTTTTGGCAAAGGCAGGCCCAGCCATTTCGAAGATACGGAGCTAAATGTGTAAAAAATGGCAGTTTTTGAGAGAACTAAGCGTCCGATTTGAATGATTCAAAGAACTTTCTGCTTGTCTTAACAAAATCATTAATTTTGGAAGAAAAAAATTGTTTCAAAATTTTTTTTTTCAATTTTTTTTTCAAAAAAAATTTTTTTTTTATGTATCGAAAATAATTCAAATTTTAATTTTAATTCTGACTAAAGTTCTAATATACTTTAAACAAATAATTTCAACATTGCAATTCAGTTTATATAATTTTTATAAATATTAGACAATGTTACAGTATTTATTTATAATAATCTATCGTTACGGTACGGGAAGTTCCCGCAATTTGCCTTAAGACACGATGCCATACACCCCACTAGTTAATGTTATAATATTATAAAATTGACAATTGTTACTTTGCTTGTTTGAATAATACTGATGAGTTATTTGTATAAATCCATTTACGCTAATAAACTAAAAGTATCTTTAAAAAAATAAGATTTTAAGCTGAGGCTTATATTTGAAATATTGTATGTTCAAAGTGACTTTAATACATCTATCTCAAATTATCATTTGTTTTTATAATAAAAATATCTTACATTTTCGATACTAATATATTTTCATATATACTTTTATAATCAATTTCAATAGCCATTGTAAATAATACAAATAATTTTTATAAGAAGTGTTATCATATAATTCACCCATTACTCAAAATGGGTAAAGACATTCTGGAGCAGAAAAGCATAAAATGTGTTTCATTAAAAAGGTGCTCAATTAACATAACATGATATAAATCAATATTTAAATCAATTAATTCAATTATTTTGTTAAATTAATAGAATGCCATTAGAGAGTTTGCCTCACAAAGACGTAGGTGATTACATAGAGGCGCAGCAGATCAATCGTTTACCCCGTCGATTTCCTCGGTGGGACGAAGGCAGGACGGAACCGGCGCTCCGAGCGGCAATCACGCGGAGGGAACTGTATCAGGCCAAAAAGAACTTGCAGGATGTGCGAAAAGCTGGCGTCAAAGCGCGAGCTGTCCTCCAAGTCCAAATAGTAAGGGAAATAGATATAGATAGACAATATCAATGTTTTTTAGGATTATGTAGAACAAGCGATTGCATAAAATGCGGTATAAAGCAAATCTATGTGGAGAAACTATATTTTATATATCAGGTTGGCAACTAAGTAAATGCAGATGTTTAATACAAAATAAATTTGTATTAAAAATCTGTAATATATTGTATATTAATCATTTCTCACTTTCATAAAACTTCTGATTTTTATTAGCAACACCATCATAATTATTGAATTATTTACCAACAAGGAATTTTGCGAAGATCTAAACAAGAAGTAATCAGAAGATGGACTCCCATAATTTATGCCAAATGACGAAAGTTGTGTGATATCAATTACATTGTTTAATTTTATCAATTGTTTAATGTAGACACCAGAATTGATAATTCCGTTGGTTTTAAAAGCTCAAAGTACGCAATTCCTTTGAACGACCAGAGTCAGTGTTTTATTTTTGAGTAAAAAATTACCAGAATAAACTTTTGCGAACCAATTTGGACAATGCCGTTTTTTTCGGGCTTTGTCACAATGAACACCTCATAAATTTTTGTGAATTTAAGATGCCTCTTTACCTTTGAAAAAAAAAGCAAAGTGTGGCAAAAAATTCCGATTTGATTTTCCATATTTTAATAAACGGATCAAAAAACTTTTTTCTGATGGACATCTAAACTGCCCGTTTACATGAGCATTTAAGGAATGAACTGTATTTACTTAATTTCCAACCTAATATAATAAATATATTATATTCACTACAATTGCATAAGTGTTCATTAAAATGCTTTCTATATTTTTGAAATATTTCTTTTAGAAACTGACATTTATTTTCAAATTAACAACAAGAAAAAGACAAATTTCATTTTTTATTTTTTGTTTTTATTAAGTTAAAGCACCCTTACAACGAGAAGATGCCTTTAAAAGCAAGCAAGATGCACATTGAGGGACCGATTCAGCCGCATAACTGAAAAATGTTATAGCAAGGCCATGTTACGTTCCAAATTCCTACGCATAAATTATGCAACTGAATCATAGTGAATACTGTCAAAATATCATATATTTGCTGTCCATTCAGGCGATCTACACATGAACTACAATGTCACTGGTATGTTCTGGAGCTGAGTCAGACAGACCCTGTTATATAAGATCGTTTGACATTTGTGCGGTTTCTAAGTTAGGTTTTCTATCTGACAACCAGAGAAATATGCCTGACTGCACACCAACAACATGGCTTTTGTTAATATTCTGTAAGAAAAGTTCTTCATAACATTGCCTTGCCATAACATTTTTCTGGTTTGCGGCAGAATCGGTCCCTTAATTTTAAATTCATTGCATTAGAAATTTGAAGTGAATCGCTTAAAAGTAACTAACAATTTTTTAATTGAGATATTTCGTGTAAAAATTAGTATTTCTATTCATTGTAGGATAAATTAGTAGCACAAGAAAAAGATTTAGGAAGGAACTTCATAAAATTTAATCGATTTATAAGAGAAAATGCTGATAAACGCCAACGTGCTGAGAGAAAGATAGCAGAATCAAGAGTTATAAACAATCATTTGAAAAGTGAAATCAATGAATTGAGTGAACAGGTAACCATAATAAAATCGATAATAAGAATTTGTATGTAATTTAGCTGATTTATAGTAAAACAGTATATTTAATTAGCTTTGTATACTTTACTTTCATCACATCTAAAGTTAGAATGAACTTGATCAAAACGATTAATTTTAAAATGTAATAAATGATCCTGATCTATAATCAGATCAGAATACTTGTTTACCTATGTTTATAATATACATTGAGAGTGCGTAACACACTATCATTTAACTTTATAATTGAGGCTAATGATTAGTCAGTAATTTTATCCTTCTATCCAGTTCTCCGAATATAGGCAACATAGTTTAGTAAATTCTGGCTAATGGCTAATGAATATTATTTTTTTTATCTAGTACTCAGGATACATGAACATTAAAAATAGTTTAGTTAATATGATAAGTAAGTATAAAATGTACGAAACATTTCTGGATAAATGTGCTGAAGAATCTCCATACCTAACGAGCATCTATAGTGTCGTTAAGAGATATGAAGCGTTGATGAGCGCCAGACAAGTCATCTCAGAGAGGTTAAACGAGGTAAGAGATTTTGCTAACTAGGTTTCTGATAATAAAAGATACATTTGAAAAATGTTTACAAGAATAATTCAGTTTTAAACTCTGCAAATACGATGCCATAAAATATTTTACCCAATTGCAATACACTGTCAACTGTAAGTCAAATTGGTCTTTTGTGTCCAGCCCTTTTAAAAGTCACAAACGTTTCGAAACCATCACTTGTTTTCATTCAAATTAAAATATTTTAAGGAACAAGAGATGAACATACACCCCTAAAATTTTTCCATATCATTTATAATTCTATTTCTGTATTTTTCAGAACATGTTAGCATTAAATAAGACCGTGGAAAGCGTCTCTCGCATTCAAGCCGAAAAAAACGCCTTGATCGGCCAGATGAAATACGAATTGCGTATGAAGGACGAGAGACATGGAGAAGTGACTCGTTTTAAAAATCATTGGGAATCAGCTATTGTAAAAATTTCAAACATGGCTTATGATAAACTTGCTGAAATATTTTGTGTCAGATTCAGCTCTTGGGATCTATATCAACAACTTGCTGTTAGACGACAGTTGCCGGTAATTATAAATGATAACTTATAGCCACAATTAGTTTGTTATGATTACATAGGTAAATATCACTTCTTTTTGCATAAAAAATTATTTACATGCATTTTGCAGTTCATGTAACTTACCTTCATTCAGAAGGCCACTTGCACCTAGTTAGGTCATCTATTCATAATACCTGAAAAAATTAAAACTATTAAAGTCTTTCTTATATTGCTCTTATATTTATTGATGAGTTGCCAAAACTATGTAAATAGCAATTACTCTATATAAATAAAAACAACTTTTAATATATATAATATTCTGATAAATTTAAAAAAAAACAAATTGAAGTGTTAATAAAATTATGATGACTTTAGAAAACGTTTCAAATCTAAAGCAATTCCAATGTTGATATGGAAATATATTTTATTTTAATATTGAACATACTGCGAATGTTTATTAAAACCATTTAATATAGCTGTCACTATAGCATTTTTTTTTCCTTAGATTACATTAGGAGAATTCGATCAAGAAGGTCATTTTACATTTATCAAAGAATCAATACTTGAGTTGAGAAAGTGCGTAGAAGAATCTAAAAAAATTATGAAAGAAGCAGAAGAGGACGACAATGATTTATATAACGACTGAAAAGTTACCTTAATTTTGTTTTAGGTTTTTCTTCAATTTTTCCATATTGCAGTGTATCTATATGTGATCGAATAACTTACATCTAACGCATTATTCATATTGTTATTGCATTTATTTTATATACTTGTAATTACTACTTTAAATTTTACTATAAATTTTACTACTTTAATTTTTGAAGCTATTTGAAATCTAAAATATCAGTATTCGTGATAAGCATTGAATGTATTATTAACTTATTAAAATTATATTTACATTTATTAATTATTTTTTATTATTGTGGTTAGACTTTAATGTTTCATAATGATTACATTTTTTGTCTCAATAATACATAAATATATTTATATACAAGATAGATCCAGTTTAGCGTAGCGAATTCAGGTTATTTGATTTGTACGGGATTGATAAAATAAGCAAGAAACAGTAAAAGGACGATAAAATAAAGAGGATTTAGTAAGATAGCCGTACATGTGTTTTATTACATGAGAAAAAACACCGACGCAAGCTCTTTCTATAGAATACTAGCAAAAGATTTATTTTCCAAACGAATTTGATTTGGAAGCAAATGGACACATGTATAAACTCATTGTTTTATATACTGGTTTATATTACTGAGAGATAATCCATATTAGAGATTATGGTATTGAAATACTATAGAATAAACATAATTTAATTATAAAAAAAATATTGTGAGAAAACAGTGTTTTTTGTAATAAGTGTAAATATGAATCAAAATATTTCTGATACTAATTTTTGATCTCGTTCCTGGCTTGATTTATACTAAAGTAGATCAACAAAGTAATAAAATGTTAATATTATCCGTTTTAATGTCCCACGAAGGTATAATATGTAAATTATACGCCAAAACAAATAATATAAAAGCCATTTACATGTCAAAGTCATTTTTTTCGATTGTGCGTGGAGTAACAAATTTACTCGTCGCACGACATTTGCACATCGAGAGCATCCTACACGAGAAAACATTTAAGGGGTTAGGGGTACTTGGAATTTTTGAAAAATCGATTTTTATTTTTTTGCATTTTCATTAAGTGTAATATCTTGACAATGTTCTCTGAAAATTTCAAGTTGATCCGATGATTACTTTTTGAGTTATTGGACTCTTACCAGCGCGTTGACGCAAGTGGAGAGCTCGATACTTATACTCAAGATTATTCTCCCTCACATCCTGATGTTTTAAAAGCTTTTGAACCGATTTAAAACAATCTCAGCAATGATAATTTACTTTCAAGATGTGTAGTTCAAGATTGAATCCATAATTAGAAAAAATTAAGAGCTTCAACCAACTAGTGTAAAAAATATGCCTAAAAACCGTAAATACTAGTTCTACTATCGTTCAAATTGCTGAATACATATACATAATCATTACTATCAATTATGGGTACCCTAGAACCTAATTGTGGGTATAATTCCCATTGGTATGCTGAAAAATTGGATGCTGCACGTGTGAAAGTAGCAGATCAGCGCGCCCACGAGACGACACGGGAGGGCAGAATGCTTCGTAGGCAACACCAAATGGAAATTTTGGAAACTTCCACAATGGCTGAAGAACTGTTATATGGCCCAGGAATAGATGACTCGTTGTAAATAAATTAATAATTCGTATTTCTGTACGTAAATCCAATGTAAAACTTTGAACGCGTTTTTCTCAAAACTATGTTTTTTGAATCGGTGACCACTGTAACTCAAAAACCGCTTAGTAGATATTAATGAAATTTATAAAGCTTTTAGAATACATAATAAACTCGTGCCTGATCGAAGGATTTTTATTTTTTCAAAAATTTGAATTTTTTAAGACCAATTAACTGTTGATTTTTTACCCAAAAATCTAGTTTTTTTCTTTCTGATGCTGCCATTTTGTTAATTTTTGCAAAAAAAAGAAAACCTTCGATCCGGCCCGGGATTAACTATTCATAAAACTATTTTTTGAATTTGATTGATTTTAGATGAATCTCCAAGGAGTTATGATGGTCACCGCCAGGACCGTTTTTCGAAACAGGGTCAACAAAAACCGCTATAACTTTGGGAATATTGATTTTTTCTTTCTGAAATTTTTGTTACATCAAGTCAAAACATTGTATAATAATACTGTATTAATATTTTTGTAAAAAAACATCGTTTAATAACAAGAAAAAAATACTGAAAACACTCATTTTTTCGTGCCTGCAAGTACCCCTAACCCCTTAAATTATACGGAAGGAAATATTTAAATCGAAATTAGATACATTTGTCTATATTTTGATGATAACAAAATTTTTTCAGACAGAGGTATATATTTTATTACAGCAATGGTAATGCAAACTCGAGGTTGATTTCTATTTGTATTTAATCTACTACTACTTACGCCTTTACTCGGAGGAAAATTATACTAATGAATCATCATACAAGTAATATTGATACATTTGAATTCGAAAACTCATTGAAAAGCTTCACAAATCTAATTTATTTAAGTATATAAAAGAAAAATGAAGTAGGTTTCATGTTTCATGGTCGATTTGAAGTACTAGGTATAGTACACTTATATAGATTCATACTATCACTCATACCAACATTAATACAACAGCGCCAACTATTCATAACTAACATACCTTAATACTTCCTCAATGAATTCCTTAATTTCATACCAAATCAATATATCTAAGTTCAATCAATCAGTATCAATAATCTCTAAGTTTCTAAGAAATTAAAGGTAACATCTAAATGAAAAGGTTTGCTCAAAATGCAAAAAAATTGACTAACAATTTCCAGTTTAAAGCAATTTTTGTAGTAAAATATTTGTTTACTAATATAATAAAATTTCATTCCTGGTATCAGTTTAAAGCTATCGGTGGTGCACGTAGTGTTCTGGACACGATGCAAAATATTTTAATCATCCTGAGCTATTTCCAATCAGCTTTGATCAGCTTTGTATTTCCTATATCCACGGAAACTCTTTCATCAAAGCGAAAGGCGCATAGTTCAGTATTAATTTGCTTGAAATTTTGGACGAACATCCCTAATTACTATGTAGACTATATTTTAGTTCAAAGTGTTGTTTTACAAGCGTAAAGTAATTTTAAAGTTTATTGCAAATATTTGGGGCGGATCGATTTTAGCAATATTATAAAGGTAAGAGGATAATGGAACTATGAAAAGTAGGAGTTCGAAATATTTGTAAGTAAGTAGTATATAGTAAATTCTTACTTGTACTTTATAATTACTCATATTTATTGTTACAAAAATACAGCAGCTGTATTTGTGTTCATCTTCAGTAAAAAGTAATGAATGTATAGAAATTAAGTTCTAATACTAATATCATTGCTATTGTATTATGAACTTAAATATGTATCAGAATATACTAGAACTACGACAACATTAGAAATTTTTAGAAAAACTAGTGGTGCATGGAATTGTGTTTTTAGGCAAATTGCTGGAACTTCCCGTATCGTAATGACATATTCGATTATGAAGAATATTAAAATTTTTTATATAAATTACAATGAATACTGTAATTTTCATCATTCTTATTAAAACAGAATATAAGAGCTTAAAAATTGAAAAAAATATTCAAATTGGATGCTTAGTTCTCTCTAAAACTGGCATTTATTGCATATTCAATTTCGAATTTTCGAAACTGCTGGACCTGCCTTTGCCAAAAACTAATCAGCACTAATCCTCATCAGTAGGAATCGATTGCTTTTTCAATTATTCAAATCAGTCGATCGTTACTTTTGAAAACGTCGACAAAAAATTGTATCCACACTCACACACAAACATTTTTTTGTAGTATGCCAAGACGATCAGAAACCTCTAAAACGTGAAGATATGTAAAAAAAATATTTTCGATTTTTGACTCAATACTATAAATTACCCAATGGAAAGTTGAAAATACAGTAGCTATAAGATTTTCAATAACAAAGTTATAAATTAATAGAAGTATGATTAATATAGTACTGATATCACCATTTACTTATTATGATATTAGTACTATTATTATATAATTTATTTATTAATAATTTTATTAGTACTATTAAAACTTAAATATATATACTAGAACTTCTATTACATTAAAAAATTTAAGAAAAATGTATAAAAAACCTTTGGATCAATAAGACGATTCACACTTTTTTTAGTAGAAATAGCAATCAGTAAAAAATGTTTCATCAAAATATATGATGAACTGGAAATTAATATCGCTGTGCAAAAAAGTAATATTTAATGAACGTTCATGATTGATTTCTGCATATTAAATGAGATGAAACGATTCTCTAATAAAACTGAACTCTGCTCGAACTATGACGATATAATTAATTTTAACTCTTCTGAATAGATAAAAATTGTAATCAACATGAAATATTAAAAGAGTAACTTGACAACGAAAATGGACAAAATCAAAAAATTATGAAACTTACAAAAGTTCAGTCAATGAGACAGTTAGAACATTATTCTTTATAGTAATTCTTCAAACACAATAACTATTCAAAGAAATTCAAAATTTATAAAGATAATAAAATTAACAAACAAATAGCAATCAGAATGTAAGTATTCTATAAGCTATTGGGATCAACTTGAACTTAAAATATTTGTGTTGGTGAATATGGCTTGTCTAGGAAACTCTCCAATGAAAGCTTTAATACTTAGAAAATCAATTGGTTGTTTTTTCTTTAATCTTTTCCTGAAAGGTTTTTTTTGGAAGAAGGCATAGTTCCTTATAACAATATTTTATTATTTGATATAAATTTTCGAAATGAAAATATATCTTTTAGATATGTTCTTTTATAATCGCGTAGGTATGGTTTTACATTAACATTTTACAATTTCACCATTAAACCAAACCGACGTCTAATAAAACCTTGTTTCAAAGGTATTTACTACAAAGCTTAGCGTCGAAGAGATAAATTACAATCGTGTAGAATTTCAAAACATGATACAAGGATTAAAATCAAAAGCTGACGTCGACAAAAAGTAAATTAATAATAACAAAACTACATATGTAAACCATGTGC